GAAGATAGTTGTTGCTGCTTGGGACTTGAGCCAGACGTCCTTGTTGCAGACAGTGACATCAGGTTAAACTTATTGTTTCCTCGCTAAAGGCAAAAGACAAGCTAACAGACTTTTTCCATTTGAGCTGTGAGCTTCCTGTTTGAGCCTCTACATAAACAGCTGTCTACCTTAGTCATCATTAGCATCATTTCATCAAGAAAACTAATTCAGGATCACAGCTGGAAGAAACAGATCGCAAGTATCATGGCTATACTCTTAGTAAGCAACAATGCACATTACATCAGCACCTCATTCCTTTAGAAACTAGCAGTAGTGATCTCTCTTTAAAGCTGTAGTTGCCCTGGAGTAGACTCAGTGTGACGTGGAAGCCATAACTACTCACACATTCATATACCAGTGCCCAAGGACTCAATTATAGCTGTCCACCCAACAACCTTTTGCCAACCCACACTACCAGTCCTCAGCATGCTTTGTACTAAAAATTGTTCCAATAAAAATGAAGCTGAAGTAATTCATAAATAGCCAGGATTATTGTGATTGACTTCATGTGTATTTGGTCCATTCTTCAACCTGTATGTCTGGGCGACCTGTCAGGAGAAATGAGCAGTTGAGCTGAGACTGGAAACAACACCAGTGACCAATCTCCAGAACTTTATTTAGGTTCATTGTCAGGATTAGTTGGAGAATGAAGTAATATTTTTTGGTAAACATTTGAAATGACATGCAAACAAACACCAGAAAGGATCCACACAACCTGAGAATCGCACCAATACAGGACCTTCTTGCTCTTAGGTGCACCCACCCACTTTACTTCAACTACCAGGTCCCATTCCTTTATAAGGACACATTCTGAGATATTTTCCTTCCCTCTGTTGCGTTTAATAGTTATTCTATCTAAATCCCCCTCCCTCTCTCTCTGCACCACGTATGTATGCAAATGTCCAGTCCTGCTTGTTGATTTGGACTCTGGTTCCACAAACACGGACTGTGCTGGACCTGAGCCTGCTCACGGTAATCTGCCACTATTATGAGTCCGTCTCAGCGGCTCCACGGCCTCCCAATATCTGAGTGCAACAGAGGATCATGGGTAATCTGTTTGAACTGGAGCGAACCTGAACAAGTGAAATAGAACTGCAGAGCAGTATGTTTGACTCAAATGTTCTTCTACATGCATTATAGTCATATCAAAACATCCTTATATTCTTATTCTTGTTAGCTGTAGTTAACTGAGCCTATCGTTTGAGAATCTATATCACACAAAATTGGCGCTTGTGAGTCACCCCCTCAAAAACATTCAGATCTGTTTGAATAATGCTACGTTATTGGGTGTCTACATCTCCAAAGTTCAAAATGCTCAGTTCCACCTTGTGATGTCTCAGCGTGGTAGTTTTCAAGTTAACAGCTGTATTTTACCTTTTGTTCAGTAAAGATTGGCAAGTCCAGGGCTGTAATCATCCAAATGATTTTAGTGAAAGTATATGGAGTTTAAAAACACAGTGTAGTACTTCCTGTATTACCACATGACATCACAAGGTCGAACAGGGCGTTTTACCTTTGAGAGAAGAACTCAGCCTAAATTTTCAAAGTTTGTGTGTTAAACATGTGTGAAAGACAGAAAACACAACTCCGGGTATGTTTTGGATGAGTAAACAACATTATAACATAGAAAAGAAAATAGTGTAATATGGGCCCTTTAACAAAAATAACAATGCCTTTTCATTTGTACTGGGTTAAACAATCAACTCTATGAGCTCCGCTATTCATTCATTCATTTATTCATTCCTCATACTCCACCACCACCACCAATTCACACACTACATTCATACATAAACAACTTACCCAAAGACACAACAACAGCATTTCCTGGTTCCAGCTGGGATCAAACCGTCAACCCTTGTATTGGGGGGAGAACACTCAAACCACTGAGACACATTCACTTTACTCACACTTGCACTATCTATGGGTTAGAACTGCCAAACCACTAACTGTCACATTCATTCAATATTTAAAGGCAATTTAGAGTAATTCACTTCACACATGCATGTCTTTAGGCAGTGAAAAACCAAGGCACAAGGGCACAGATGTTTTGTGAGTAACCATCTTTCACTTTAAATAAACATTAGAACATCAGATGTAGACTGAAAATTATGAATACACTTACTTCAACAAAAATTACATCACTGCAATAAAGGCTGTTTTACATACACTTTCTTGTCAGTGTAATGTGTGTCGGCATTTCAGAGGAGTCATGTTCTATATATTCAATGTCCTTTGGCAAAACATGACAGGTATTTAGAACATTTATATCCTGTTCCTGTAATTACATCCCCCTGTAGTTTTATTATCACGTTCAGAAAGGCACTTGTTTATGTCAGGCCAACACTAACACAGGTGGATAGTTTTGTACTTGCTTGCACATACTTAAGATTATAGATTGTCATTGTTGATAGTTTTTCAAGGTCTTTTCTTTGCCATTGACACCATTTTTACAGAAAAATAAAACACCCTCATGATATATTTATTTATAATGCCTATTCCCAAGTTAAACTCCATTTTCATATGTGTAAATAGGAGATGGGGATATCGTGGTCACGTTGTTCATGGTTGATGGTTGAATAATAATAATGAAAAAATGAACAACTCAGTACTTCTTATGTCACTGCAAGACCGTTATTATTTCAGCTTGGCCGTGTTTGTGTAAAAGTCAATGGACAGTTTCACCGTGCTGTCTATGGAGCATGTAAACTGTGCAGGTGATAAAAGAAGGGACCAGCCGTGACGTCAGATACAAAGAGCCGAGGATTAGTTCATTTGAAGGGTCAGTGGAGCTCTATCTGACCAGTGCTGTGCTATGCTCACAGACATTTAAAGGCGAACTATGTAACTTTTTGGAAGGGTACAAGCTTGTGTGCCTGGAATGTTCCACAGTCTGGAGATGGCCCCAGTTTTGTATGTTTTTCAAGGTCTATTTGAACAACAGATTCACCCACAATTGAATATATGCAAGACTGATACGTTTAATGCTCTGAACTGTGGAACATTGCAGGCAAAAGAATAACATCTCCATGCAGACAAACAAATTATGGACCCCACACCAGAAAGTTACAAATTATGTCTTTAAATTTCTCTGTGTCTTTGCCAATTCTGTAAAAACATATGATTTCTGTGTGAGGGTGCGCCTCTTTTTGGGCATGTTAAGAGCAAGCATTATTACCTCCAGATCCTTACGTAACCATGTCCATCAGTGTCTAAGAATTCCTATCAAAATAAAAGAGGATTTATTACAGAGGGTAGCATGTAAAGCTAGAGGAGTGAGATTCCAGTGCATTAGCCAGTTAGCGAGGCCGTTGATCCAATGGCCCGCGGCTACAGGGAGTGGCTTTGAAGACTACTGTACTGGACTGTCTGGGGTTTTATGATATTATTCTTACTCTCTATTTATGTGGGAAAGGAAAGACATACTCCTGCAAACACCATACAACACCCTAACCTGGGAACTAATATTAACGCCCTCATTATTTTGAAATGAAATGAGCGTCATAACAACTGTAAGGGTTGGGTTCATCACCTGCTTGTTTTCAAGGAGAGGTTGTTGTTTTGTCTGGAAAGTTCCATACTATGGCATTAAACATATGCATCTCCATTGAGGGGTGCAGGTGAAGTTACAGGTCAGATCTGTGGAGCGTCTTGCCAGCTGATTAAGAATATACATTTTTCAGCAATAAAAACACACACTGTGGTGCATTATAAACAAACCAATAACATCTTCATGAAGACAAACAGATCCTCCCCCAGAAAAGTTATGTGGTGCAAAAAAAAAAGAAAACAAAAAACAAAAAACTTGATATTTGAGGTGAACAGTATTTACATTTAGATTCCCAATTTTACGCATGTCTATATGGTGACAAAGGACAAAAACCATGGTAACACAGGGTGTACACCTGATGCCCTAAATTATTGGTATCTCACTTAAAATCTAAAATAATAAACAGAAAACAATACATAGAATACAATTACATCATGACTCAAGTCAATAAATGAAAGATAACTCTAATATGCATTAAAAATATTAGTTCATGAGGAATCAATCTCACATATTCATTTAAAAGAAGCCAATTGTACTGTATTTATATTATGCATTGAAGGAACTGGTATAATCTGCAATTCATTCCAACCATTTACATTATCAATACAATTGATTAATATAGACTAACTATAGGAAATCACAATGCAACCACTGAAATACAACTTTATCTCTCTGTATGATGTTTATGTTGCAGAAGAGTTTCACACATTCACGTGATTTGAGCATTTTCTATCCGTAATATGAATCCACTGAATACAGCCAAATATTTGAAATCAATTCCATTTGGCCAGGGTTTATCTCTAAAGGTTCATTGAACAGAGAAATTGGAAGGATGTCATAATTTATCAAGAAAGCAAAATGTAAAAAAAGTGTATTTTTAACATAATAAGTCATGTTTAAGATCCAAATATGCATCTTAAAGGTGCGATATTACACAAAATTGTCTCTTATGAGCTAATGTTGTTATGTCATCAAAAAAATACCCAGGGTTTTGTTTTGTTTCATTCACACATTTTATGAGGTTAACCTTTTACCTTTTGTTCAGACTGGCAATTCCAGGGCATAAATTATCTAAATGATTCGAGTGAATGTGTATTTACTTTAAAAACACTAGAGTACTTCCTGTATTACCACATGTCAGAGTGTTTTATGTTTTAGAGAAGAGCTCAGCCTAAATATGCAGGATTTGTGTGTTAAACATGTGTGTGTAAAACAAACATGACTCCAGGTATGTTTGTGGTGAGGAAACATTATAACAGAAATCAAAAAGAGTGTAATAAGTAACATTATATTGTTAGATAATAATACAGAGACTGACTAACTAAACATTTATGAATCTCAACTGTAGCGTATTAGTAATAAAAACACCTTGCATAGCAGCCTGTTTAAAATTAATATAAAATGTGTGATTTACCTTGATGCTGATGAATCAACACGAGCATTGTCCCCAGTATCCAAAAGTGAGTGAGGTCCATTTTGAACTCCAGGTGTAAAATCTCCCAAATCCTCTTTAGCTCACACCTTGATGTTGAATCTCTCCAAATCTCAGAGGAAATGAAGTACCTTATAGTCCAAATACTGCAGCACTAACCTAAACACATCAGGTTTACTATAAAAACTCCCATAGGAGCTCCAGAAAGTCCACTTCCAGTCAAGGGGGAAGACCACAGGTGAAGCCCAGAAGAAGAGCTTAGTTTTGGGCTTGTATCCAGAGGGATGCCTGGGCAGAGTTCCAACCCGAGCAGGATACTGTATGTGAGAGGAGAGCTGCGTGTGTTGAGTTGTATGTGACACATGGAGAGAATAAAGAGGAGAGAGAGGAGACAGGAGGCGGGAGTTAAACAGAGGAGGACCCAAACCAGCGGACTTCACTCATGTCTTTAAATTAAGAAATTCCAGGACTCATTCATTGTTCATTATATTTTCCAACTCAATCTCACATTTAACTGATATTTAATGGATATATTTAATTCATTAGAGAACTACTGGATTAAAATAGCACCTTTCCAGACACTCAAATCGCTTTAGTGCAGCATTCATTCACTCCACACTCGGCAGTGATGGGACAGGCTAATGGAAGTGAGGCTGCCCATCTGCGCCATCGGCCCCTCCGACCACAACCAACTCACATGCACACTCCGCTTTCATATTAGGCAATGTGAGTAAAGTGTCTTGCCTAAGGATACAAGGATACAACAACAGTTTTTGCCACTGGCACCGAACTATGGCACCTGGTATTGGAGAATTCTTGACCAAATAAAATGTTGAAACTCAGTGGCCTGTGGGGCAGTTTGAGAGAGGTTTGTACTGTAAAAAAAACAAACAAACAAACAAAAAATGCTTATCTGGCATCTTGGTTAATAGGAGGTCATGTGACACCCTCTGGCCACTCACAAAGCCTCACATTTGTTTGATAAGACCAGAAAAATTGCCTTTGGAAAATGCTGTTTTTTTTGTTTTTTTTTTTAAATAAATCATTATCATTGGTGTCACCCGTTGTTTAGTCTCAGCATTACCAAATGAATGGTTTTGAGATTAATTGACAGTGACTTTTATTTTGATGTTTTTGGATAACCAAGATTTGGTTGAACAGTTTAGCCCGGCTGGAAGTGTCAGGAAAGTAACTCAAATATGCTTTCAGTACAGTTATAACCTTGGACACTAAAGAAGAAATAATAAACAAATGTACTTCAAAAAGACCTCCCCAAGAAACCAACATGGAACATTTATTTTGTGAATTTTGACAAGAGCTGTGTTTTCATACTGTTTCCACTGACACATTGGACCAGACTTTTCACCTTTGTCATAGTGAATAAGTTATTTTAAGGTTATATGAATACTGATGGAAAGCATGATTGATTTTATATGTCTGCTTGACCCCAGTTACTTGTTGGGAAAAATATCCCATAGTATTGCTCAAGGCCCAAAATGAGTATAATTAGAAACAACACATTGAGTTTTATAGAAATATTCCACAAAGTTCCTACAGCAAATGTACCAAGGTCCTGACAAAGATAAACCCAAGAATAATGTACAATCGATGAGAAGGTCTAAAACCCACACTTAAATATGGTGTAAGCCAACTTCCACTTCAAGAGAGAAATCAAGAAAAAGTAGCATCAAGTAAATTAAACATATATGTCAAAATTAGTTAAAAAAGATAGATATTCACATGTTTCTTCCACAGTATGGCACAAAACTTATCTATTTTGCATTTACCCAAATACATACAAACACACAAAGAAACCAACCCCACCCCAAAAAACAAAGCTTTTTTAAAAAAATTTTTATGTGCGCTGGCTTGCCTTTCCACAGATCTGACTCGTGACTTGTTCTAATGGTGTCACCTGATTGAGCACTAACATATCAAAGAAAACAAGTGGCGGACACTCCACCAGAAGAATTATTCTCATATTGTGGGAGCTTTGTCTCTGTTGAATCTTGTTGCCTGACTCAACCTCACCTTAGTAAATGTGTTGAAAGCAGATCCTGCAGTGACTTTACAGCACCTCATATTTCGAATTGTCAGGAGGGTCCCTGAAGAGTTCTGCCTTCCGGTTCACTGACATTCTGGCACACCCTCTGTTTCAGAGTATTTGTTATGGACTGAACGTCTGCAGGAGAGGAAGTCCTGTCAGGAGAGATCTGTTGGGAAACTTTTGACATGTTTAGGTAAAAATATATTAAAATTATTTGGATATTCTGAAAGAGTAATTCATTCATTTCACTTTTATGCATGTTTTATTTCTTGAAAATATAAAATTTATGCCCTGTTGTCTATTTAATTACACGCTCCAACCCACCAGCATCCTCAGCCTCTCCATCTCTTCCACTCTTCTACATCCAAGAAATTGTATCACTGCAAGACGATGTCAAAAATACAGACTCCTTCAACAAGACATCAGCGATAATTGTACTGTGTGCTGTTGAGTTTTGTGGCTAAAAGTCAGTCCTGTTTTAGATACCCATTTATCCTTTTAGTCAAATAGAAGGAAGTGAGTGGGTTCCTGTGGTGAACCTGGCTGTAAAAGGACTGTGTAACATCTGGGTAACAGAGATGGAGCAGGAAAGCCTTTGGTTGGGCTTCCCCAAAACAGATCAAATGAAATAAAATCTGTTCTCAAATTACTTGAGTTTTATCAGATAAAGCCAAAATATTAGTTCACAATGAATGATTGTTAATTGAAATATTGAAACAACTAATTTTTTTTTTTTCATTATGAGCTCAATCTGTCCTCCTTTCTCATGCCATACAACTCAACTGAAATGTTAACTGTATTAACTGTGTCATCCTTTTTATTTAACTATATATTTTTACATGGGCATATATATATTTTTAAATAGATCATCTTACAATCAAAATAATTTGTTTTGGATCAACTAAATAGAAAAATGTGACCAATTTAAACAGTCAAAACACTTCATTGCAGTATCACTTTTAAATAGCAACCAAATCAAAAAATGTTAAATTTGTGAAGTCAGTGATAACTAAAAGAATGATCAGAACATCTCCTCAGTTCAGTCACTCAGGAAATTCATTCATCCCAGTTTTTCACAGTTCTCTATACTTCTAAAACTATTGATGATAATGGACTACCTTGTCTATCCCCCCTTACAACTAATGAGCCTCATAAACGTCACTACTTTTACTTTTGTTTTACGGTTGTCTGTTTACTGAAGTACTCGTCTCATCCTCCTGAAGTATTTATGGGAGTATTTGTCTGTCCCATTCCTGTGAGACTTGAGACAGGAGCGAGTGTGTACATGCTGTTTAGAGTCTGCTATAGCTCCTGACTCAAATCTGTGGTGGGATAATTAAAGACAACATGCAACCTGGAAACAACAGCCTGCCCCAGAGACACAGGGCTGGTGCAGGGCGGTGTGCAAGGGGGGCAAAGACAGGGGGAGGGAGCAGGGAGAGGAGATAGAAATGTAAAGTAATCAAGTTTCAAGTGGAATTGCCAATCTCCACTGATCAAAAGGTTAAAGGTGGCAGTTAACTTGAAAATTACAACTTCATGACATCACAAGGTGAAACAGAGTATTTTGAACTTGTAGACAGACTAATAATAAAGAGCTACTCAAACATGTGTGAATGAAACAAAACACAACTCCAGGTATGTTTTTTGAGGAAGTAACAACAAAACATGACTTAAAGCTCACAATATAACACTTTTAAATGGAAATATATGGTTCATCCTGGATATGTAGTTAGTAGTATGACACATAGGTTATTATTTCACTTTTTGTTCAATATTACAAAATTACAACAATTAAATAATAGAAATGGGTCCACTGACAAAAATAAATAAGTGTGTGATAATGGCGCTTTTTATTCTTACCATTTGCGTGGGAATGGAAATTTTCATATTTGATGGTGCCTAAAATGCAAGACAATAAAAATTACTCAAGCAAAACACATTCAAGTGAGTTAATGAGGGAGAACCATTAACACAAAGCTCTTAAAACAACATGTCTGCTTTAACTTCGGTTTGGGAATAGAATTCACATAGAGTAAGTTCAGCATTTGATAGATGCCTGTTCTTTCACTTGTTTGAAAAACATTTTAGTTCTGTACCTGGGGAAATCCATTCACCCAATCAACTCCAGGTAACATGAAATCCAATAGGGCATCAGATGTAAAAATCAAAATGCAAAATCTGTAACAAATAAATACCTAAATATGATGTGAACCACAGATAAGAGAACAGAAAAGGTCAGGGTTGATGTATTTTGTTTTATTTATTTATTTATTTTTTTGTACTTCAAGTTTTAATTTTATTTTGCAATTTTTTAACATATAACAGACAGCAGCACATTACTTTGGGCCGAAGGGATAATACAGTTTAAGAAGTTACCTATATAAATGCATGACATACGTGTAGTGAAGTGCACCCGCTCTATAGCAAAAATAAATAATAAAATAAAAATAAATAATAAAATAAAACAGTCAAATGCGTATGACAAGTCTCTCTAATATCCACTCAGTTTAACCTGTTACAAATACTAATAATTTCAAGACTAAATGAAAAGGCCACATTAGGAAAATAAGTCTTTGCAAAAATATTAATCTCAACTGGTGTTTTAGTAAGTTGGCCTGTCAGACCTATTACACACTTCAGTCAAAAACAGGTGCCCAAGATTTTACTAGAAATATGAAACTATCTTCATCAAATTGTCCATCCATCTGATAAGGTGTGTGGGAGAAGGATCCTTCCGTACTTTTAGAATTACCTGTGCTGCAGTTATTACCCTCACATTTAAAACCACATACTCACATTTTGATACCCATGATTTACCTCAAGTAAACATATTCTTGGTAACCTGGGTATCGTCTTGCCAATCCACCTTTCTATACATTCTAGCACTCTCTGCCTCCTTTATACTTTTGCCAGAATGTGAAAGTATCTTGCCCCATATTTTCTTATCTATGACACAACCAAATAACTGCCAAATA